AATAATGATTTAAGTAGCATAACAGGAACTCATTTAATTTCATTAAATATAAGATATAATGAATAAAACTATATTTTTCGAATAAAATGAACGTTAACTAAGTGTAAAATTGAGCATTAATTAATTAATCCAGTAACTATAAGTCAACTCTGTTTCATATCAATAAAGAGTTATTTAGCAACAATGAACACTCAAGATGTTGATTACATAGGCTTTAGAAATCTTCTGGTTACTTAGTAAACAACTAAACAATAAACTACAAAGTTATGGAAAAATGATCTTTGTTTGTGAGTTTATTCAGTCTATGATTTTCTTAAACCATTATTTGAGACTTGTAAACAGTTCAGACAAATAAATTATAATTAAAGCTGTTATGGGGTTTCTCGTTAGGACAAAAACCTTTTTAGTACATCTTGGGTTTTAATGGTTATCTAACTGATGTTAATCCCCGATGTAAACCATTAAAGGTAAAAACACTGAATCATAATGGCTTGAAAATACTATTCATAATACGGCAAACATAAATTATCTTAAACAGTTATCATAACTGAAAATCTAAATAAAGTAGTTTTATTGAATGACTCTTAAAACAACTTTTCTGTGTGCTCTATTCATGTGAAATGAAAAATAGGATTCGTTCGCATAATCAATGTCAAATAATGTTTTCAAAACTAACATCGATATGATTCATTACCTAAACATGCTGTATACTGTCCAAAGAATAACATGTAACTTCACACTAACTTATTTTCCAGTGATCATATTTAACTACGTAGTGGCTTAATATATTGTTATTCCTTTTTAAAGGCAGGTGGGAATCAAAACAGTGAAACCCTGTCTCAGAACAATGGAGACAATAAATAATTTCTAATTTATTCCAATTTACCATTCTTCATTAAGTGGTATATATATATACGGCTATACCTTAATACTGAGAAGGGGAAATTGTACAAATAAGTAAGGACAGTAGTGGTTGCCAGAAAAGTTGCTTAGCAACTTGAGAATAATACAAGCCAATATTCTGATCTTTATTGTTGCTGATATTATCATTTTTACGATTTCTACTAGTATTGAAATTCAAAACTAAACTCATGTAAATTTCAAAATATAGTATTATTTCCTTGAGCGAAATTCTAACTACATTTAAGTATCCCTAAGATATTATTAGTGCTATATGAAACAATCAATATTACAGTATTGTTATAAAGTTTTTAAACCACGCCCAGTTTATCTTTTGTTTATTAGTTCATGTACTGATAATATAATATGAAGTATATATTCATTTCAATGGGCAATATTCTATATTTTGTCTATACATATGCGAGTAATGATATAAGGGACTGGCTTAATAATTTTAAAATGAAGCTCCTTTGATATTTACTATAATGTATCTAAGCCTCAGAAAGATATTACTTGTTTGTTTAATGTGATTATTTCAGTTATGTAAATTTCACATATATTGATTGTTCAATGATTGGTAACCAATGATAAGTTGTTTATTTCGTAATAATGGTTTGATTCAGTTAATCAATTTGAAATGCAACCATTATACCACATGAAACGACTTTTAGGTGACCTATGCTTAAACAAATGTGATTTATTGGCAATCAGGCAAAATGCTGTGAACCTAGTTTTTGTGTACGTTTGCAAGTTATATTGACAATGTTAAATATTAAAGATGTTTTCAGAGAAATTTGAAACTGTATAAATTAGTATTGCTGTACCATACTATTTCTTTATTAGCAAATTTTAATATTGTAAACTTTTTGAAATAAACGATATTTTATTAACGTTTTATTAAATAATTGAATTCATGAGTCAATTGAAGCTAGACCACCATAGAAAATCTGGAAGCACTGAACGGCCGTTCCATCCTAGTAAGCGACTCCTTAACAGTATGCATCCACGACGTGGCCCTGCGAGATTCGAACTCAAAATCTATCAGTCCAGTGCTTTCAAGTTTTCCATGATGGTCTAGCTTCAAATGACTCATAAATTCAATTAATAATTTATTACAACCTCTACAAACCCCATTCTGATTAAAGTTTTATATCAGTAAAACAAACTATAACACACTTTACTGACTATTCATTTTATAAGGTGGATAAAGTTATTACAACTAACTACACTAAATACTCATTCATCAAGTTACAAATAATTGTAACAAGTTTTAAAAGCCACATAGAGGATCGAAATGCATTTAATTTTTATTTAATAACTTTAAATATATGATGAAGTCTTAACTGAATAATGGAAAATACAAGTAGTATATTAAGATGAGTTAGTATAGAAACTTATTACAATATACCTGTTTTATCACATCCAGCTGTAAATTCTTCTTCTTCAAAAAGAACATTCTGTTTACTGTACACACAAGATTTCTTACGTTTAAAGTTTAAGGTAATTTTATTTTGATCTGAACCATCTGCATTACGTAAAATCAATAGCAATTAATATAATTCTTTATATTTTCTTTTCCTGGATTAGAAATGAGATATATTCTAGAGAGGTATGATATTTCATTTATGTTATCTTTAATCATGATAGTAGATCACAAAGAGTACAAATCCTAAAGGTATTATGATCAATCAGTGTAAACATGATGTATGTATATATGTATGTATGCATGTACAAGTTCATAACTACTTTTAATAGTTTGGTACCAAACCTTTAAAATCTATGAATTTTTCGTCTAGAATTTATTTTCAAATAGTGAGCTCTCAAATGTTTCTGATCCTTTAGGGTTTTATTGTCTGAAGTGACAAATAAATATGTTATGTGATTTGAGATTCTATATAGAGAATTCGTGAGAATTGTAGTATTTCTACAAACGAGATAGTTATCCATCGCAGATGATGGATCAAGGGTTGAACAAGATAATGGATGGATTGAAGCTAAACATCGTTACCGATGGATGACGGCCAAAATGTCTAAAGGTTAGGCATTGGCTTGTAAGATTCGAGGCCCTGAGTTCGGTTTCTACGTGCAAGATCGTGGATGTGCAATTTTCAGTAGTCCCATACTTCGATTAAATGGCTGTCCAGTACTTTCAAGTTTTCAATGATAATCTAGCTTAGATCGACTCGCGATTTCAAAATTCATCAAAAATGCATATAATATATGTGGCATCATTTTAACACAGTACATATTTTATTTAGGTTATTTAAAAAATGCTGGAGATTTCTTAACAAATTCCCAAGCATATGACACCGTTTTAGTTTAGAAGTATTAGTAATGTTAAAAAGACTATTCAATCTGAAATAGGATTCGACACCTTTAAATCTCATAGTAAGAATGACTCCATATTGGACTTTGGTTTTATTCCACTGAGTAGTGTTATTTTAGACTTAACCTTGTTGTCAATTGTAGTAACCGTCATTTGTTAACACTCTCTTTGCTCTCAACTAGCTTATTTAGACCAGTTGTGACCATTCAATGAAATGATATGATGATTTTCTGAAAACGGATAATCAATTTGGACTAATTTACTACTACGTTTATATGTATATTGAAATTATTCTTAAGTATAGATAGTCTTAACCCAAATACACGGTGTCTCTCTAAAACTAATATATACCATTTTTCCAAACTGGCATTTGTTGTTATCAATTCGCTCAATTAAAACATGTTTTAATTCGCTTATTATGTCAGTCAGTTCAGTTTATTTACGCGCTCATAGAAAATGTTTCCAACCTATTATAAATTTAATTACTTAAAAAACGTATAAGTACCATTACAGTGGGTCAAATGTCGTTCTTCTCTCTGTTATATGAAATAACAATGAGAGATTGTCATAAAATCAATACACCAAATATATTTAGTGATGCAAAAATGCGTCATAAGAGCAAAACCGAATTTAAAAGTAAACAGATGAGTATGAATAATAACTAATCTTTGTTCAAAGTTCAATACGCACGTATTTTAGAAATATTCAAAATAGTATTGAGATTTTGCATATTTTGTGCTGATAATTATGTAATTTTAATCAGGTTTGCTAATGTCATTTCACGAAATAAATAATTTCAAACTATACAATAAAAGAAGGGGTTTTGTGGATATTATAGTAATTTTAATAGTTTAGATAATGAATCGATTGTAAGTAGACCATCATGGAAAACCTGAAAGAACTATAATATCCACAAAAACTACTTTCATGTCAATAAACATATGTTCACTAGTGACTGGCTTCAAGAGGTATTTCATGAAGTTATAGTGAAAAGCAGTGAACAGTGGAGTTCAACTGGGTCTGTTGTGAGATAGTAACTCATTGAAGACAATGGTGGATGTGTCCTTCGATTTTGTGAATTGGTTGAAGTTAGACATTGTGACTGTTGGATGCCGTTCGGCTCAGTGATCTGTAGGTTAAGCGTTCGCGCATGAGACCGACATATTCTGTGTTCGAATCTCGGGAGGGGTGGGATCGTGAGTATGCACGACTGATGAGTTCTATACCGGGACGAAACGGCCGTCCACTGCTTCCATGTTTTCCACAGTGGTCTAACTTCAATTGACAAATGACCTCAACTTTCAAAATTATACGATAAAAGACAAAACATATACAGTGGTAAGTAGTATATATTTGAGAAAATTGAAGTTGGATTATCTGAATTAATCCAGCATTGTTTTTTATTTTAAACAACATAAAAATAACAAATTCATATGTAATTTATTAAACATATTGAAAAGAATATTCATTCTACTCATCAAAAACAATTGAACATACGAATTATAAGAAAATAAAGAAGAGGAAGGGAGAGAGCGAGAGAAAAAAAAAGAAACAGAATTTTTGTTGTTGTCTTCAGTTAGTCCTTTATCTAGATATAAAACAGTGGACAAATCAATTCATATCTCATTAAAATAGAAACTATACCAAGTATATGTTATACTCACCAAAAAATACACACAAACACGTGAAATGTTTTCGTAATAAAAATAAATTTTTCTCATATTTGATTGATGTTGTCCCCCTTATTTATTTATTTTTTTGTTCTTGTTTCTAGATACAAAAAGAACTGAATATTTTCAACTTATCAATCAAAAAATTAACGATGGTATGTTTTATGTAATTATCTTTGATATAAATATATATAGTTCTGAGTTTTGAAGCTGTGTTCGTTGTATACACAATTTTTGTATTTGGCTTGTCAGTAACGCTTTTGAGATATTGATCGACGTTGTAATCATTTACTCGTTTCAGTTGTCAGTACCACCACCTACAAAGATAATGTTAATAATAATAACAACAGAGTAAAACCTTTCTTGAGTAGTATGATAAATTTTATATGAAAAAATAGAGTGATTTGGATGATCTAGTATTCTATGTTTGTAATTATCTACTTAATCCTCTTATTTTATGAATAAGATTCTAATTTTTATTTAATTTAAGCAGTTAAGATTATATAGAGTGGTTTCATCAGTTGTCTTATTTATCACTTGTATAAATTATAATAAGAGACATGAAAATAAAACTATTTTTTTCCGTTTTAATATCATATAAATAATTATTGTGTAATTTCATCAAGTTGTAATAATTTGAGTTAGATTTGATTCATCAGGAGTCAAATTGTGAATTATTTCTTTGTTGCAAGCTATGTAGATGTCTGTATTGATTATTAGAAAATTTTTAAGAAAATGGTAAGCATTATTATGAGTTAGTAAATGTGAGAAGGAATAATTCATCATTAAGGGATGACAAAAATGAAATCAAGTAAGTTAATACTCGCCTAATAAATGAAAGATTGATTCCTTTACTAGCTAAACTTACTCAAATTGATTATGAATTATTTTCTATTAATTATTTATACACTCTCCTGCTTTTTGTGATTACTCTAAAGATCTGAATGCATAGGTTTGATTAGTAAAGACAGAACTGAGTTATAAGCAAAGTTGGATAGTGGCTAGCAGTATAATCTAGGACGCGCGTTTCATCCTATTTACTTATAATGATTATGAATTAAGGCAATATCGAGGAAATAAGCACAGTATGCACATAAGTCAATAAGTGGCTAGTCAATCACAGTCCTAAACGTCAATGAGAAGATTCAAGTAAACAATATCAAGTGAATTTAGAATTGAGTCCTGTTAAATTATCACAAAGATGATTCTCAAATCTCATTGATTTTCATTGTATTTTATTTCATCAGATTATAGTGAATGAAATGATTTCTGTATATACAAACTTAGCTAAATAAATAAGATAAATTTTGAAACATTATATAAATTTCCTAATCATTATTTCATGAGAACTTGGTCTAATCCGACTTGGGGTTTTTAATTTCAATAACATTCATACAGTGTAATTAAGTTCAATTTCCTAGTTGACAAGATTTAAGTGATTTAGATTATTGAGTGGTTATAAATTAATCAAATTTTTTTCATTTATTTTAAGCAAAGATGGATAGTGGCTAACAGTGAAATCCAGAACGCGAGTTTTGTCCTATTTAGGACTCCTCATCTGGATGTACCTGTATCTCAGAGTTGATGCTCACTTCAAGACTCGTACCCAGTACCGTTCACTTCAAACGCCATCACGTTCTCCACTTAGCTACTGAGTCCTGATAGCCACCTGCTTGTGCAATGTGGTGATATTTAAATTCACTTGGTGTTGTTTTACTTGTATCCAGATGACGGGTCACAAATAGTACTAAACTCGCGGCCTGAATTTCATTACTAGCCACTACCCATATTTGCTTAAAAAGCTTGTAACGTAAGGCTATATCGAGATAATCAGCACAGGATGAACATATGCCAACATGAGACTGATCAATTGCAGTCGTAATTCATAATGGGAAGATAAAAGTGAAACAATACCAAGTGAATTTAATTTTTTGTTTGTTTAATGACAAAAAGGAATCGATCTGAATACAAAAATGTCATGTATTTGAGAATTACTTTTTTTAACAAGATATTTCAATGTATACAAATTAACTCATTTATGTTTGAAAACTAGTGAATGTAATTTAATATGAAGTAATTATTAGAAAGGGGACAGGGTTAAAATTATATGAAATCAATAAGACTTTTTTACACTTTTCCTCCAGATCAAAATAGATTACTGATTACCAGGGGCGGATCTATATCTAGAACACATAATTTTTATTTTATATAGAGGGTTGAAAAAGGATTATATAAATCGAAAAATGATAGTTTTTATAAAAAAGCAATAAAAGTAATTGTAAGCTTAAACATAAGCTCCTTAGAAAACATGTCGACTCGAGTTTCATATGCCAAACTACCTCAAATGAAACATGGTATACTTCACTTTTTCAGATTGATGTTTACTACTCAGAAATTAGTTAGTGTGAGTTTAAATCCTATCTAGGGTATCGATAAATACAAGAATTAGGATATACTATGATGAAATTTACTAACTAGTACAAAATCTAACGGAAACTAATTATATTATTTGCTTCCAGCCTCATAAAATTCACAATCTTTATAGGTACAACCTTTAATGTGAAGTTAAAGTAAACGGTTCATTTACTGACAAAACATCTATGAACAATCTCTCATAAACTTGGAAAACTAAAATCGAATTCTCTACACTGAGCCTGTATCTCTGCTTTTTATCTATTAATGGATTTTAAATTATCAATGTAGAATGTTAAAGAGGAAGAATGTATTTGTAAAATCTCAGCAAAAGCTTGGACCAGAATGCCAGGCGAAACATTGGATTTACTTCAAATTCTTTCGCTGAGATTTTACAAATGCATTCTTCCTCTTTAAAGGTTTCATATTAACTTGGCGCCCAAATTTTGTGAAACTATTCGTTCAAATTTAGACGAAAGTTCTTGTTTACTGGATCCTGGCTCAGTAGTCTAGAATTAAAGCGTCCGTGCTAGAGACCGAAGGTCCTGAGTTTGATCCCCAGTGACGAGAATATGGATGTACATTATTGTGGCCGCGAAAACTGTACACTGTCTCCTTGTGTCCACCGGTTATCTAGTTTAGATTAGTTCATAATATCAATAATATTCTGAATCGTTTATCAGTTCATAATCTTTAATGAAAAATATGTCAAAATAATATCTGCCCAAACACTTATTTTTTAAAATATTGTTATTCTTTTTCTAGCTCCAGCTCCACCAGCGTTTCTTATAGAAGAATGCATTTCAGAGCGTAATGTTATTACTCTTGTGTGGCAACCCACATCGTCTATTCCTATTGATCGTTACACACTTGAATTGGATGATGGAGCAGGTGGAACTTTCAGGGTTAGTTTATAGTATATCGTTTTTTCCAGAAATTGTTTTCTTTTTTAAACTATTATTCATTTCGGTGGTAAACAGATAACTACTTAAGCTTTACTTAATTAGGTCACCCAAAACAAGGACTTCTAATTTGTTGAATTAAGTTTCTTTTAAGTTTCTTCTAACATTCATCATTTTTGTATTTCTAACGTCCCATTTGGTTTAATTTTTTTATACTATTTGTAGTTATGTATCAGTTATAATTTAGTAATAACAATCATAAAACATAAATGACGGCTTTTATGTAAATTCATTTTTAAATGAAACCCTTATGACCACAAGATCACATGACCAACTCTAGCTAAAATGTTGATTGCTTAAATAAGGACTGAAGAAAATGTAGTAAATATTACATTTTACAATGATGAGCCCAACAGTTTTATTTTAATAGACTGTTTATTAATCAACATTTCTGTTATATGTAGAAACAGCTAAACTAATATGTTGTTTTTAATGATTAAACATTGCCATTATCAAGTATCATTACCGAGGTTTGACTTGACGTTTATCGTCATCTCTTCTATATGATAACGGCAATAATAAATTATTATATTTATAATAACCCAATGAGTAAAAAAATTAGATGTTCTGAAGTTGCGTGACTTCACATAAACCACTTCTTCAGAGAATAAACAACCAAATCAAAATTAATTCAACATGATTTGGTCATTTATTCTTTGAAGAGGTGGCTTATACGGAGTCACAAAACTTCAGAAAATTTAATTTTTCTACTCATTCGGTCATTACAAATATATTATTTTATTTATTACCGTTATCACATAGAAGAAATGAACATAAACCACACCCTTAAATATGTTAAATTTTTTGACAGAAATTTTAATATGTTTTTTTACAAGTTCAAAACTACTTCCTATGTTGTCATATCAATCTATGTTATCACATTGATGAATAACTAACTGAAAACAATGTTGTTCAAATCCTTATGTATATTCAGTATAATGGTGGAAAGAGTTTAGTACTTGATTTATGTTTATAGGTTTACAGAATATCTTTATAAAATACTTCAGAAAAGAAAATGAAATAAAATGCTGTAGGAATTTAAACAAGTTACATATTTGGACGAATGTTAAATTTATTAAAATCACGAATAAAAAGTAGATATTAAATAACTTGGTTAGATCTGTAAGATAATTCTTATCCTTTATTCATTAAGTAAACCATTAGTTAGAAACATTTCCGTTATTTACGGACCAGTGCTTAGGTCATTCAATTTTTACATCGATTCATATTTGACACATGATTTTTTTCTTACCATTTTTAGAAACGGACAGATATAACCTAAGATTATGAAATATCGGTGGTAAAAAATATTCAGTAAGGTCCTTAAACAGCATCACTATTTAAATACTTCACTCCTACAGAATTCTGAGATCATTTGTTACATATATTGAGATTAGATGGTGGTTGGAGGTAGTCGACAGGAAACTCTGGACCCGGGTTTCATGCTACTTGGCACTCGTCAGCAAGGTGTACCTGTAATCTTGAGGGAACTGGTGCTCCCTTGCGGATTCGATCCCATGTCATGCAGCTTCACAGTCAGAGACGTTACCGCTGAGCTATCCGGGCCGCGACCGACCTCCTCTAGGACTGAGATGTAATCACAATTAATTGATCACTGGACAGTGATCAATGTCATGTGTTTCAAGTCCTTATTTAGTGCAGATCGAATGCTTTCGACGACGGGATCGAATCCACTAGGGAGCACCAGTTCCCTCAAAATTACAGGTACACCTTGATGACGATTGCCAAGTAGCACGAAACCCGGGTCCAGAGTTTCCTGTCGACTACCTCCAACCACCATCTAATCTCAATATATAGTGCACGCAGTGTCGAGTCACCTAGACTGCTGGCCACATTGCAACATGGTCGATAGCATTCGATCTGCACTAAATAAGGACTTGGTACACATGACATTGATCATCACCCAGTGATCAATCAGTTGTGGTTATATATATATATATATACCTATGAATGTTCAGGTTGTAGAATCTTTTCATTTTAAACGTCTAACATATTAATGTCTAAACAAAAGAGCAGAATTTCCCCATTACTACGACATCATTACTTCATTAAACTTTGAATAACTATTTTTCAAAATAACATTAATTTTAATGTAAAATGATATTAGGGTTATCTGAATTTATATGATAGAAACAACCTAATCTCACTATTAACAGTCAACAAAAGGGAAGCTAAGAAAGATAAGTTGTTTTTTTTTAGAAAAAGGAAGAGGTTTACGTTTGATTAGTTTGTTAAACTGATTATATATATATATATATATATATATATATATATATATATATATATATATATATATACATATATATCTTGATTGACAGAAAAAAGTAAATCAAGCGTGTAGCTTCAATAAGTCTAATAAATCAAAACAAATTCTTCACGTTAACGAGTCAATGTTGTTTATATTCTCCAGACATTAGGGAATTTTTGTTAATGGAAAATAGTTTAAGGCCAATAATGTTAATAGGGAGACTGTGTCTAGTTTGTTATATAATATTTAAGGTTGATGAATTCTATAAGAATCATTATATCATCATGACACTAGTTTTTATAACAATCTGCTTTAGATGTTGAATATCATTTTACTGGACTATTTCATGGATATGAGTAATAAATTATTCTTAATAAATATTGTCAAACGTGAAAGTAGATCTACAGATATACTTGACTAGTTTTTTGAGATATACAGTTAAGTTTGTAGACTCTACAGTTAGTGATGTTACTTAAAATCTATTCAGATGGTAAATTGAAACATATCTTAAAATTCTATTAAGTTTACTTCATCAGTTCAGTTAGTCATTCTCCTCAAAGTTCATGACAGTGAAAATTATTGTAGATTTTCAAATTAAGATGAAAGAAGAATAATATGTGCTGAATAGATTATAAGTTTGTTGTATTTCTCTACTTTTGCATAAGCTATATATAAGCTAAGTTTAGTCAGTTTACAATATTGACATCTTGGAAACGGTAGGAACAAAATTGTCATGTATGAATAATTGATCATTTTAGAAGGAAAATCTATGATTGAGTTTAAAATTAAAGTTGTGAATGATTTTGTTGAATAAACCTTATAAGTAGCTCACAATAAATCTATAAAGTGTCCTTTACCGTCTAACATGTAGGATTTGGAAAAGTGTATGATAAAACGTGTAAATGCTCATTTTCAACACATTCTAATTCTGTTGAAATCACAAACTGATTTAAATCAGAAAATAATTAAGAATCTAGAAGTAGTGAACAGCCGTTTTGTCTTATCATGAAACTCTTCAGCAGTACGCATTCATGTCCTTATAACCAGGACTTTCGACCTTGCGAGAGAACGCTTGACAATTGGACAACAGAGCTGTGACTAAATGGCGTACAAGTCTAACTTAAATCAATTTGCAATGCTTGTTTGATACGAGCATGGGATTTTGTTAGAACACTTTATGGTATTCGTTGATTCTTAGTAGATCTTCAACTGATATCACACCATGATTAAAATTACTTTTAAATGAATACTTCTAACGAATTTCACAAAATCATCCGGATAAAGATGTGAGATTTTTTATATTAATTCTATGAGCAGTTTAGCCTTTAGCCTTTATACTCTCAGGTGGTTTGAATACATACTAAATAAATAAAAACAGTACGAACAGATAGTTTTCATAATATTTGATGCTGACACAATAAAATTTGAAATATTAAAATATGGTAGCTTCTCGTAATTTTTCCAGTCTTTACCGCATTGAATTAAATTTCTGTCTCACTTAAAATGAGTTGCTTCTGTTATTGAGTTATCTTTATATATTGCTTCAAATGTTCCATAAATTTCATGAACATTTTCATTGAGTTTGATCAATAACTTCAGTAAATCAGTTTCTGTATTTATTGAATAAGGTGTGCATATTAACGAGTATCAGTATCTTAGTTTAAAATACCGAAGTACTGAATGGATTACGGTTAGTATTTAAAATTTTATTGTTACCATGTATACACCCTTAATATTTATTTAAAAATTTGATGAACCTAACCGATACCATATTTTACTTAAGCTGCTTATAAAACACTGAGAACATAGTAAATGAAGAAATAAAACTTTATTTGATAATCACCAGCTTACTATATGAAACCAACTGACAAATTAATCTATTAAATAAAATGTACTACAAAGTTTTTCTACCAGTTACATTTATGATTGTTCTGTTCAATGTTACTAATAAATTTCAGTTATTATCAGAAGAGAGCTTTGTGGAGATTTTAGCAATTTAGTAGTTGAATTTATGAGTCAGTTGTAACTAGGCCACTATGTAAAACCTGGAAGTACTGGTTTTTAGACGGCCGTTTCAGTCTAGTGCACAACTCCCCAGCAGTGCGCATACAGATGCTTCGAGGCTTTCAGTGGTGGTCTAGCTTCGAATGACCCATGAATTCAACTATTAAATCTTATTGATTATTTTAGACCTAATGATCAAGCTTATGTTTATGAATTCCTGTGGCCTACGTTGTATGGCATAAATAATATCTTGAAGAATGGGCTAAGTTGAGTGATATCTCAGTTAGTCAGTCAACTATAACGTAGTACCATGCACATACATGCATCGGTCCAAGTTGCCGAACCTCATTAGCACATCAAGATGAATAACAAATTTTTAGTAGTCACTTCAATGGTCGTAATGTATAAAAGAAAGACTGCATATAAGGATATAGTACTGGAAGAAAGAATTAGTTCGTAGAAAAAAATATGAAGCGATCTTAATCTGTTAGTTTAAAGGAAGACAGATAGTGTATACATCGACGCCATTGTGATCGGTTCTGAGCCATGTCACCAAGAGTCTCCAATCATTGGTTACGATGGTCACGTGGACCCCAACCAAGTAATCTGCATCTACCAACATGGCTCAGACTAGAATTTAGTGACTTCAAGGACTGGTGCCACAGTTTGGTTTGGCCACCCCTAACTTTATTCCAACCGTCTGCAGCACTTGTCAGCATTGCACATCGTGGTAATTGTTATTCAGGCATACCTAACAAGTGGCCCAACCATTTTAGTCGATGAAGATTCACAACCTCATCAACTGATTTACCGTCATTCCCTAATAGCCTGAGTCTAGGTTCACTATTACTTAACCAGTGGTAAATAACTTCAAAAGTTATCATCATTTAATTTTGTCACTCCTGTCGATTAAAACCTTTTTCCCGTTTTTTGCTTAACCAAGAAATGTGATGTTCAGAAAAACGGACGGACTTGCCTAGTTACTTTATAGATAAATTTGTGTACGCTGGCCAATTAGTTCCAAAAAATTAGATTATTTTTTCATTTGCTGTATTCATAAGCATTCTAATAAAAATCTAGGTTTGCCACCGCATTATAAAGTAACGATGTCGTTTCGGTTAACAGCTATCCATAAAATCAATAGAAAAATTTAAATAACTAAAACCGATGGGCTAAAATTCACCCCATTGTACAAACCGGTGGCTTTTTGGACTCAGTAGCTAAATGGATAACGTGTCAGATATTTGAGGCAGAAGTTACTTCGTCTAAAACCTGGTGCGAACATCAACACTGCAGTGCAGGTATATCCAGCTAATGAGTCTCAAATAGAAGGGAATATAGACTTCACTGCTTTCCATAATCCAAATCTGATTAAAATGCTTGCAACTTAATGTTAACATCGAGTTAGTCTGCACAGATTATTCATATGCTTAAAGATACTGATCAACTGCACTTCATAACATCAACAAGAACCAATACAAATGGAAATACCACGTATTTGTTAGATTTTTATAAGAATAATTAAATAACGTGATTTGAATATCTTTTTATCTTCAGATATACTTATCTCCTAACTTAGGAATTAAGTTGAATAATCATAAGAGGAATATAAAAGAATTCTAATAAAAACAGGCATATTTATCATAAAACTCAATCTAATAATATGAACATGAGGGGAAAGTAAGGTTCGAATAATTTTTTAAAAAAATTATCATAACAATAGTTATTATCGCAGGGATAAAAATCCAATTTTGTAAATTTGTTGATATCTTGAATCTATGTTAATATTTCTTTTTTTGTATATGAATATGTATCTTTAAAAATATGTACACATATTCATAGATGTATTATGTATTTCACGCCCATGGGCAAAGTTAGCTATTTAGTAGTAAACACAGAAAAAAAATTTTCTCTCATTTATGTGAGTAATTCTAATCACACCTTTTTTTAAAAAACTTGATCATTTACTATGTCAGAAGGGCTGTTGTGGAAATTATAGTAATTTCAGTGGTTGAGATCATGAGTCGATTGAGGCTAGACCACCATGGAAAACCTGGGAGCACTAGACGGCCGTTTTGTCCCAATGTGGGACTCTTCATCAGTGCGCATCCACGATCCCGTCTCGTGAGATTCGAACACAGGACCTACTATAATATCTGTAAAAACCCCTTCTGATATTAATCAACATATGTTTACGAGTCACTGACTTAAAGAGGTATTTCATGGAGTTCTGGTGAGAAACAGTGAACAGTGGAGTTCACCTGGGTCTGTTGTGAGATAGTAACTCACTGAAGACAATAATGGATGTGTCGCTCAGTTTCGTGGATTAGTTGAAGTTAGACATTGAGACTGTTAGATACCGGTTGTCTCAGTGGTCTGGAGGTTAAGCATTCGTGCATGAGACCGATATGTCCTGTGTTCGAATCTCGAGAGGCGGGATCGTGAATGCGCACTGCTGAGGAGTCCCACAATAGAACGAAAGAGCCGTCCATTTCTTCCATGTTTTCCATGATGGTATAACTTCAATTGACTCATGATCTCGACCATTGATATTCACTATGTGTTCAATAACAATCGGATTTCTTGATAATTGTTATCACTACAATAAAAAATATTGAGAAGGATTTAGAAAGTAATATCGAATAATTTATTTCTATTCTCATTAAAATGTTATCACTTTGTTTTCAACAATCTTTTAGTAACAGATCATTGTAATAAGTTATTAGATTACATTCAATTAATATCAGAAATATGTAAACTGACCGGCTCTTAAAACTTAATAAACATAACTAGAAAGAACATTGTAATTTGAAGTATTCCACAAGATAATTGTCATAAATTATATTTTTCTTAGCTAATACTCAAATGAGAAGTACAAGATAGATGTGCAACTGACGTAAATTATGTGTTTTAGTGTTTCGCAACGTTTCTTACTAAAATTATGTTTATTTTCAACAATTCGTTTGTTTTAAATATCCGTTGTCTAAATGGTATTCCTTTAGACTTTACAGTTATCAATGAATTATTTAGATAATATGTACATGGTGTTTCACAGAATTACTCGAACAGCAGGGGATATATAATCTTCAACCGAATTTACTGATAAGTGATTAAAAGTAAAAAAGTTAGATGATATACATTTCAAGCAAACTATTCAAAACTTATATCTTTGAAATAGTTTTCAGATGCTTTACAAACATCTAATCAAACCATAATATTCTAAACAACTGTTCAACTTTATTTTCAGGAGTTTAACTGTTTTGAATTTTAAGGATATATTTAGCCTGTGAAATGTGAGTAGAGATTATGTAGATGACATTAGTTAAGTGTTTTGTAATTTGTAACCATTTAAATGAGCAAACTATAAGACCTTCCTAATGATTTCTAACTTTGTTTCATACTGATATATTAGAAATGTTAAATTCCTGAAATTATTGATTAGTCATTGAATTTAGTTGTATAACTCACTAATCATTAATTGAAATTCAAGTAAACCGATTTTCGTAATTATTTCCGAATTAACGAACCGTTAAATAGTGTGATTATGAAATCATACCCATAATTACTACAAATTCTTTAACGAGATTTTCATAATTTACATATTTTTTAAAATTACTTTTATTCATATTTAGAAAGTTTATCGAGGTGTTGAAACAATGTGCACTGTCGAAGGTTTACACTTTCGTTCCGTCTACCGTGCACGCGTTAAAGCACACAATCAAGCTGGTGAAAGTCAATACAGTGAACGAATTTGTCTACAGACATCAGATTGTGAGTTGATAAACAATGTAACCTGTGAATTTTTTTCAATGATTCATAAGTAATTTAAGTGAAATAATAAAAAAATAACTTCAACTAATAAATAATTTAGACGGTTGAATGAATTTCATACACAGTTCTCTTTATTCATCTTACGGAGAACAGAAACAATTAGTTAAGCGTAACATGAATTTTTTTACTTTGTAAATTCACATTCATGAGTCGATTTAAGCTAGACCACCAATGAAAACCTGGAAGTAATGGACGTCCGTTTCGTCCTTGTTATAACTTATCAGTTGAACACTACTTTTTATATCTGGTCGTTGTTGATTGTTGTTTCGGAAACGCTTATCACTTATACTCAGAACGTGATTCCTCCGCGATTCCCATGACGCAAATGTAAGGATACAAGACTGGTATAAGTGAAGATTTATTAACCCCAGAACACGACGACGACGACGATAGTCAAAAATACACTCGTTTATATATTGATTGTACACACACTTTGATTAATAATTAGGATGAAATCACATATATAAAAACTACTTAAAATTATTACAAATCACATAACAAGCATAGCTGATATCCATTGAATACAAGAATATCGTATATTAGACGGAATAAAATATCATACGAGAGAACAACTACTACACTGAATAATCATCATTCAATCAAAACGGAAGTAATGTTGAACAAAACTCATAATCAATAAATCAATCAAAAATGGACTTTTCTTTCCATCATATCAGTCCTAGTATGAGACTCTTCATCAGTACGCATTCACAAGCTCACAGGCGAGACTCGAACACAGGACCTTCGGTGTTGCACGCAAACGCTCAACCACCAGATCACTAAGCTAGCTCGACTCATGAATTCGACTTCTAATTGCTAAAATCTCCACTAACCCCCATTCTAATAACTTATTATTATTAGCTTACATTTGGTTGTATTTCAAATCTAAAATACACAAAACTATGTTAAAGATACCTGACGAAATAAATTTGTTTAGAATTTAATGTAACCATTATTTAACATGGAATAGTAAAAATTAAGATAAACATGAAAAAAACTGAATATAAATACTTCGTATATATTTTAAGAATAAAAGAAAATTCTGAAATATTTAATAATACGAAAGAAATAAAATGCTACTTGTGTAGCGTTAAAGACCATATCAGTGATAAGATAGGAATATAAATCAAAGTAAGCAAATTTCAGTTAGACTATTGAGCCGGCATCCAATGGTGTTAATGTCTAACTTTAACCAATCCACGAAGTTGCACCACCGTACACCATTGTCTTCAGTGAGCTGATATCTCACAACAGATCTGGTTGAACTCCACTGGTAACGACTTCTCACTAGAACTCTAGGAGTATATCTTGAAGTCAGTCACTAGTGAGCAGATGGTTATTATCAGAAGGGGTTTGTGGAGATTTTAGAAATTTCACAGATTGAAATCATGAGTCAATTGAAGCTAGACCACCATGGAAGACCCGGAAGCACTGGACGGCTGTTTCATCCTAGTATGGGACTCCTTACCAGTGCTCATCCACGATCCCGCACCCCGCGAGATTTGGACCCAGGACCTATCAGTCTCGCGCCAGGCGCTTAACCAACTAGACCACTGAGCTGGCATCCAGTGGTGTTACTAGGACGAAACGGCCGTCCAGTGCTTCTAGGTTTTCCATGGTGGTCTAGCTTCAATTGAATCATGATTTCAATCTGTGAAATTTCTAAAATCTCCACAAACCTCTTCTGATAAAATTTCAGCTAGTTAAAAATGCACAAAATTAGTGAAATAAAATAACGTCGAAAAAAGATGTGATAAAGTAGTTTGACGCGAACAAAAAGAATCTAAAGAATTATAATGTGATAAAATGAAATGTATGTTATCAAGATAAACACTGAATACCAACTTTCTTTTGGAACTCACAAATTAGGTTTCTCTTGATTTTACGCAATAGTTTCAAAAAACTTCAAAGGTTTCAGTGATGTTTACCTGGTGTTCTATGTCCAAAAGAGACATCTGAAAATTGCTCTATTGATAGTTCTCATTTTGTTTGATAAAAGACTTCTTGGAAAACGAAGTTAACATACTTTTTTATGTTTTATTGTTTTTCTATATTTAACTAGTACTAAGCTATTTGATATATAATAACTTGAACATTAATATTTACCTATAGAATGGAAATAACTGTGTTTGTGTGTAAACAACCTGATATACTATGTAGTTTTCTAGTAGGTTTCTTCATCAATATCAATAGATTAGAGATATTTTTTCCAAGTATTTAACTTGACAATAATTCCAACCATGAATCAACTATGAGGAAAGTTTCCATAAAAAGTTCCCTAAAACGGTTATTTAATAATATAAATGAGTAACAACAGTTTTTCAAATTTTTGCCATCTGAAATTAATAATGCAAAAGGTATACAATTGTATTCTATTTTTAAATTTCATATGCTTTTAAACAGCTTCTTTACAATTAGGTTGAAACACATACAGCACTCATAGATATTACCCAATAACTTTGCAGGATTCAACTATTCTTCTGTATGATTTTGTCACTGTATAGTAACTGGTGTCACTTAAGAAACAGCAGTAACTGCCGTCATAGTTATCACCAGCCAACTAAGCTTAAATAAAGTCTACAGTGACGTCAGTTTATCTAATTTGAGAGACCATTCAGCCTAAAAATAGTGCCTAACAAAAAATTATTTCTTGCTCATTATTTTTTTAAATACAGCAAAAGATTAGTTGGTAGATTATTATAACGATTAAATCATTACTTTAACGCCATATTATGTTGTAAAAATATTTACTTCATACAGCCATCTGTATTAATGGAGTTAGTTACCTTATACCCCAAAATAAATATAATTGCATCTGTCAATGTTAGACCACCACTGAAAACCTGGGAGCACTGGGTGGTTATTTTGCTGTAGTATGGGAGTATTCTGTAGTGTACATCCACGACCCTGCAGTCTCGGTTCGGACCCATGGTCTTCGATCTCCATGCGAGTGCTCAACCATTAAACAATTGGAACGAAACGGACGGTCAGTGCTTCCAGGTTTTCAATGGTGGACTACCGTTGATCGACTCAAGATCTCAATCAAAACTCAATAACCTCCACAACTCTATACTTACAATAATTATAACTAGTTTACTTTGCAAGTAAAAATTTCAAAAGGAAAATTTAACACAATTTTTATATAGATAGTGTTATTCACATATGTTAGAACGCCACTGAAAACCTGGAAGCGCCAGACGGTCGTTTCGTCTTATTGTCGGACCCCCAGCAGTGTTCATCCACGATCCTGTAGTCCAGATTTAGATTGACAAGTTTAATGGTGAACGGTGGTTCAAGTTCGTGGATTGTTTGGAGTTTGATATTAACACCATTGGATGCCGGTCGGCTGAGTGGTCTAGTGGTTAAGCATTCGCCCGCGAGACCGATATGTTCTGTGTTCGAATCTCGCGTGAAGGGTGCACACTGCTGAGGAGTCTCACAATGGAACGAAAGGGCCATCCATTGCTTCCAGGTTTTCCATGGTGGTTCAGCTTCAATTAACTCATGAACTCAACTATTAATTTATTCATATATAATGAACAAAAACTATTTAACGTTGAATCTTCATTTGTATACTTTCTTGTTCAAAATTTTAGCATTGTTGTCTCATGTTTTATTTTAGGCATAAAATATTCAATAAAGATTATAGGATAACAAATGAATAAGCATTATTGTAAGACAGTTTTACAATTTGTAATTGCAAATGAGGTATAGATATGCTTTATAATGAATTTATAATTAGAAAATGAATAAACAGTTAATATAGAAACAATTACTGATTGAAGAGTTCTTTATTTGTAAAACTCTAAAAAAACAAAAAAAAGTGAAATTCATTTCGCTTCAATATACAAGATTTGGTCGATATTCATATTATCCTATCATTATCAGAATGGGTTTTGTGGAGAGTTATTAGATAATTCAGATTTAAATCTATCTCCATTTCAATTTATATTTAAATTACATAATAATAAATGATAAGATTTTATTCTAAAACAAAAGACAAAACAAAAGAGAGAGCTTACTTCATCCAACCACTCGTTCTGTAGTGAAAAATGAATTTAACTGGTAAACATTGTTAGATCTGCTTTTTTTCTTGTTACAACAAAAAGAAAAGAAAAGAAAAGGACACTTTTAAACTAGAATGGTAATTTTTATAATCTACTCAAACCGTTAAAGAAATATATATATATATATATATATATATATATATATATATATAATTTCCATTCTAACTGAATTCATTTCATTCTACATTTTCTATACAGACAGACTTAAACACTTAAATGAATAGTTGAAAGATGGTTTTTTTTTCTTCTCTTTTATTGCTTTGAAGTTAATTCATTTAAAATACTTCAATTTGAATGTGATTTTTATTTCGTTAATTGTACAAATAAAATTGTATATATATTTCTTTTCTTAACAAAATACCATTTACAATATTTCTCAAGATATGTGTATGTTAATTCTTTAATTGATTTGAACAATTACTAACATTAAAAAAGGAGATGAAAATAGAAACAATTGTATTTTCATAAATCGATCTAAGCTAGATCATCATTGAAAATCTGTAAGCACTGGATGGTCGTTTCGTCCCAGTATAGAACGCCGCATTTAATTGATATAAACAAATAATAACATCAAGAAAGAGAGAGATGAAAATACAACAATATAATACAATTCTTTATTAGTATGAATAAAAAAAAATAGCAGAAAGGGTTTTATGGATAGTATAGTAATGTCAATTGAAGCTAGACCATGGTAAAATGATAGGTTCTGTGTTCGAATCTCGCGAGGTGGGATCGTGAATACGCCTTGCTGAGGAGTCCTACAATAAGAAGAAATGGCCGTCTACTGCTTTCAGGATTTTCATGGTGGTATAGCTTCAATTGACTCATGAATTCAACTGCGAAATTGCTATAATATCCACAAAACTTTTTCTG